TAGGAACCCCAACATCTGCTGTCATTAATGTCTATGTATTTTATCTTGGAATAATTCTTGGCGTTGTTTGTGATAGATTTCTTTAAGCATAATGATCTTATTCCTTCTGCTCCACCAAATCTAAATAATAAAAATAACAATAATTATTATTATTTGGTAGTTATTATATAAGAATTAATGATTATCGATGATACCAACTTTCCAAAACCAGATATTCCAACACCACCAAATGGTAAATTTGATAAATAACTAGAACCAAAATCATTAATGTTCACCATACCACACCTTAACCTATATGACATTTCTTCAGCTATAGGAGTGTTTTGGGTAAATATGGAATTACCCAATCCATATGGTGAACTATTGCATATTTCAATTGCCTCTTCATCTGTTGAAAATTTCATTACTACCATTATTGGTCCAAACAATTCATGTTGAACAATTGACATCTCTTTGGTTACATCTGTTATAAGTGTTGGCTGGAAGTATTGTGAAGTTGGATATTTTGGATGCGTGTAAATGTCCCCACCTGCCATTAATTTTGCACCTTCATTTATCGAAGTGCGTACAATTGATTTTAATCTTTCTGCCTATAAATAAATAAGTATAATATGTTTTTGCAATAAAAAAAATTAAAATTATAAAAAATATTTATTATATTTTTATAATTATATTCTGTAAACGATTATTTCACCTGACCACTCATTGTTAGCGCACCAACATCAACAGTAAACTGATCATTGTCGTTTAATGCACTACCAATTCTCATCAATTCGATTTGTTTAGTGACTTTTTTAATAAATTCATCATGTAAAGACTCGTGAATTAAAACTCTTTCTATACCAACACAATTTTGACCAGAGTTTTGGAAAGTACCACGCATAATTATTGGGATTGCAGCATTTAGATTTGTATCGTGCCTAATTATTGCACAATCTTTACCACCTAATTCTAATATACATGGTGTTAAATTATATGATGCTGTTTTCATGACTTTTTTTCCAACTTCTGATGATCTATATAAATGAATTAACAAATGTCTATTCTTTTTTCAAGTGTGAAAATAAGAATTTTTAAATTAATTAATTACCCAATAAAAGTCACTCCATCAACGCCACTTTTGACAATAGCTTCACCGCATTCAGCAAAACCACACAAAAATTGTACAATATCAGGATCATGGCCACATGCAATTAAACATGTCTTTATAATATTTTCATAATATTTCATTGACCATGCAACTTGTTCTGATGCTTTAACTAAAATTCCATTCCCTGAATATAATGCTGATATTATAGGCCCAAATGTATTATGACATCTTTAAAAAATAAAGAACAAAAAATAAAAAAAAAATATAAATAAATATATAAATAATGCATTATTTTAATGAATATACTTGCGGATAATTCCAAGATACTAAAGCGGCCACAACACCAAATGGTTGATAAACAATTTTAGCAATTTTATAAGGTAAGATAGGACTTGGATCGTGATATTGAGGCGCTAATTCTTTTTCGCCATTTTCAATAGTCCATCTTATTCTTTCACAAGTTGTAAGAATTTCACCAAATTCTGCATCAACCACTAAATAAAATAACAATAATAATAATTATTATTAGGCAAAAATGTTAAATCTCTAAATACACTAGATACACTAGATACACACGCACATTCTCTTTCAAAATAAATAAATAAATATTATTTACATGTTTTTCCAGTATCTCTGCTAGAAACCCAACAAATTTCTTGTTGATTTTTAATAATAAAATTTAACAAACTATTTAAAAACTTATTTCGTTCAGCAAATGATGTTTTTGACCATTTATTTTGAGCTTTTTGAGCCTTTCTCAGTGCCTCCTGAACATCTTGATCAGTATGTGCTCGTGTTTTACCTAGATATTGACCTGTAGATGGATCATAACATATGATATATCCTGGACTATTCATATCCTATATACATACATACATAATTTTATTTTTTGTTGAAATTGATATATCTACATTCATTTTATTTAAAGATTAAATTGACAAACCATTATTTTTGGATTTTCAAGAATTTTCCCTTTCCAACCTGGTTTAGCCTCTATATATATCTTTCTAGTTATTATCAAACATACGTACGTACATGCATACATTCGTTAATTAACTCCTACCTAAAGGCAATTCAACTTCAAACTCTTCCCATTGTCGAAATTTAATTCCAATTAAAGATTTTCCAATGAAAAACCAAGACATTGTAACAAATGTAATAAATAATAAAAACATGGAATGGTTATTAAAATACTTGTAAAGAATCATAAGTTTCCATTCTAAATAATAATTTATTATTATGGCGAATATCGCTGGGAGTTGCGTATGTTTACTTTCAATAAGGTCTTTAAAGTAGTGTTCTATCGAGTAATCAAGAAGGAAAATGATAAAGTAAGTCGTAATTAATATATTTTTAAAAGTCATTTTTTTAAAAATTTGACTGATAATGCACGTGAGGATTGTCTAGAGATGTATGTAACTATGATTCTTCTTTTCCAGTTTTTCCAAATGATGATTATTTAGTAACCTCCCTTGTTCACAAATTAATTAGTTTTTTTTATATATGTGACGTGAGGAAGAAACTGGGATACCAATATAATTATTAGTCAAGAAGAAGACAAGACTGATTGGATTGATTAGATTGATTTAGTTGCGGTTCCTCTTGTCAACAATTTTATTATCCTTTTAGAATAATTTTTAGAACAATTAAATGATAAAATAGTAAAATAATTTTTCTATAATTTAATTATATATTATTTTTTATGAAAACAAAAACAAAAAAAATTAAAATATTTATAAATAATGATAATTTTGTTGATTAATCAATTAATCTTTTTCTTTGGAAGAATTTTTTAAGATAAAATATTTGCCATCCACCCAAAGCAACAAGTACAAATATTGTACCAAGACTAAACCATTTTACTCGTTCATTTGTAGATTCTATAAAAATTATAAACAGAGAATATTAAGTAAAATTAATAAAAATCAGTAATAAATAATAATCATAACTATGATTATTATTTTCTCTTCTTTAAATAAATTACCATTAGTGTCTCTCATTCTAGCCTCTCTTCTCCTTAAATATTCCATTTCATCAACAATTTCTTGAACAATCTGCTCCAATTTTCTTAATTCTGCTTCCATTGGTTTTAATTTTTCAGCCTTAGCTAATTGATTATAATCAATTGCTTCAGCTCCTACATCTATATCAAGATCAATTGTTCTATGATATTTTGCATCAGGTGAAAATCCTATAATAATAACAACAATAATAACAATACTCACAATTGTTGGAATGGACAAACAAACATTACTAATCCATACTTGTTTTCCAACCAAAACTTTGTCTCCAATAATTCCACTAATCAAACCTCCGGAGGCAATAATCTCGTTTATCAAAACGTTGACTATACTAACATTAATTACACACCTCAAAATTTGGCTCATAATAATTTTATTCAACAAATCCCTTTTGACAATAGTTACATTAATCAAAACTTAACCATTCCTCAAAACAATTTAGTTGACCAAAATAATGATACGATGGCCAATAACAGTAATGTTCTCATTAACCAAGACCTAACTAATGCTGCGAGGATTAATCATCATCCGAACAATACTTTTGACAATAATTTTATTGGGCAAAGTTCTCATCAAAATCCCATTGGTGCCAATAATTTCGTTAACAACGACAATGATCAATTACCACTACTTGTCAACATAGTAGCTCAACTTCAAACCCTCCAGAATGACGTAAGTCAAATTTTAGCAATAATAAACAATAATAAATAAGAATGTTAATATTATTAATACAATAGTTCATTATTCGTAAGTCAATCATCAATAGTTATAATAATTATGACATTGATTATTTTTATTATTTTATCTAGTAATATTTATTATTTAAATTATGTATAATTTATTTTTGATATTTTGTATTGATAAATAAATAAAATTTTGAAAAAATTTCAATAAATTAGTACAACTTATTATATAAAAACAAATAATTCATCAAGACTAAAGGTGATTCGACTTAACAATGAAAATTTTCTTCAAGTTATGAGTTGATCATTCAAACAAAAATTTTTGGAAATTTTGACATCAGAAATGAATGTTGACAGTCTTGGGAACGATTCCACAGATTGCTTCAATCGAAATTTAACGAAATTTTTTATATAAATTGATTATCGATTTCATTTCTTTTTTAGTCGTTTTGTCTTTAAAATATCATTATTATATATTAAAAAGTATTTTTTCGAAAAGATCAAATTCAATCATATGGCAATATGTTTTTTATTTCTAATGTTCTTTGAATATCTTATTCCATCTTTTATTCTTGAATGTTTTTTTTACAACAATTGATGACAATAAAAAAATCTGCTAAAATATATACTTTAAAAATATAAATTTACTTTTTCAAAAGACTTTCCTCTCTTGAAAAACTGGTTGATTCAACAAACATGTCCTCAAGCTTTTTCAGTGCCACTCAATTCTTGTCAACATTTTTTCCTTGTTTTTTATTGTTTGATGATGATAGTATGATGATGACAAGATGATGATTCTATAACTGGATATGTAAATTCCAACTCCAGGGCAAAAAAATATTCTCACCTGGTACCAATTTGCCAATAATTGAAATTTTTGATGTATTGGAATCTAATAAGTGAACCATTTATATAAATAAATACATTCATGTGTCTAATAGTTTACATGCCAGTTTAATCGTAAAATAAATTTTTTTACCTTGATATGATGCCAAAATACTTGTTCAAAGATTTTTTGTTTTAGTGACTCTGTTGTAGGTTTTTTTCATTAAGCCAACTTTCATCCCAATTTATTATCTTTTTTGTGGATGTTGTTAATGTATATGCTAGTGCATATGAATTCAAGGAGGGTTTGTAGCAGTTGCTCATGGTCACTATTACCGCCATCATTGTTATCATTAACATGACCACCATCATTATTACAATGTAGTTGTTGCTGCTATTATTGTTATCATCATTGTTGTAATCATGATTATTATCATTGCCATTGTCATTATTGTTATCATCATCATATCATTATTATTTATTAAAAGAAATCTTAACCAATTAAGGTTTATGGCTAAATTTATTAATATGTTGGTCACCAAAAAAATTCGGAAAAAATACTTGAAAATAGTTTCGCGTGACAGATCGTTCAACTAATATTGTCCATCATGTCATGTGACTTTAATTAATATTCATATCACATGACATATATGACCCCTTAACATTACAGTGTAATGCTTTTTTAGTGCTCTGGGAGCCTCAATTATAATTTTCCGGGCATTCTTAATTATTAATTAATAGTAGTGTTTAAAATCTTCAAATAAATCGTA